GCTAACTGATATTCATCCTCACCGATATTACTTGCAAGTTATTTTAATTTATGGGTATGGATGCTCTTATGTTGCGACATCACAATGCCGTCTTTCACAGGGGTAACTGAGGAGATACGTGGAATCTATCTAATAGGTCACTTTGAATTCTTTCGTTATTTTTTGTTTGGTTTTGCTTTGTTAATATCTCAGGAAGACCACCTAAATTTTAACTAATTGGTATTCAGTTAACCTGCTCCAGTCTGTCGAAACATCTGTCCATTTAACATATGCACTTGGCCACTATCCGGTTTGTCTAGGAAAAAATGATCGAGCAATTAAACTACCGTGTTGGAATTCGTAGTAATTTTGACGAATACATTAACTCAAATGTTAACCACTCAAGGCCCTCGGTCGAGACCCCGTAGCTCAGGTGGTTAGAACACTGGCTGCAATAAACCATACTCTATACTTCGGGGGTTGAAATATCATCGTGACCGCCGAGTTTTCCCAATAAGGCATTCCGTCAAAGATATTTGGCCACATACAGGTAATTGAGCCTGTTATTTGCTCTTATGCTTGGCGTGACCTGGCGTTTTGTAAAAGGCGGAATTCCCCACTTCTGGCACTCTATGTGTTCAGACTTGATCACTGTTCAACGGCGGTAAAGCACGGATCACACACAGCACTCGATGACCATGGACTGGAATAGGGAGGAATGCGAGGTCGGTTTACAAAGTCCAGGTAGCTAAAACTGGAATCAAACGCTGCAACTTCAGCTCCTCAAGTGCGTATAAGCCTTCCGTTGCTGACAGCCATGATGCGCTAGGATTCGCGTGATTGCAGCTTCCGACTAGTCCGGACAGGCATTCACGCAGTCTCTAGGACGGCCAATCATAGGCTCCTACAAACTCCGAAATCATCCAATAAACTCATCTAGTCGGCGCTGACTGACTTTCGCACGGCAATTGTTCACCCACGCCGCATCACCCCAACGAAAAGAGGCGCGTCCAGGTTTATAGCCGGCCTCAGTCGGAAGCTCTGACAACCATCGGGCTTCTATGCGGCGACAGTTTCGACAGCCTTGACTGACGACATCCACCGTATGCTCCAAACCAGAGTGGGAACAGGGATTAATTTAGTTTAGTTTAGTTTAAAGTGGTGGTGGACTTTCGCAGTATCTGCCGTACTCCCTCCCCCGTCCCAACTGGACCCGGTGTCAAGACAGAGTCAAGTGAAAACCAGAGGTGGAGGTGGCTGGTGTGACGAAAGCCCGCACCTAGGCGTACAACCGCACCGTCTGGTTCACAACGAACACTCACCAGGATTTTGCACAAGAACAAAATGGGGGGGGCGGCACAGATCCCAACTCGCGCGGCTTGAGCCTGCAACCGAGTCTGTTGCCACACCCCAATAGTGGCATTTCTTATGGGTGCGCATTCTCGAGAACGCCTACGGGACTCCGATTTAGCCCTCTGCATCGGTCCAGCGCATCTACTGTGTGACCTGTTTTACGGACAAACAGAGCTTCTGTAGAGAATACGCAACTCCCGTGGTTGCGTTTCCCCTTCTCTCCTAAACGGGATTGGACCGTGACTACTGTGGTGGCTAGGGAACATCCACTAGCAGGGTCGATACAAGCGTACGGGTTCCATAGATGATATCCTGGAGGAAATAATAAGGGTCAGTCCTACGAAAATCCGGTTCGGACTTAACGAAAGCATGGCTAGATCGCAGTTGGTAACCAGGCCCCGTATTACAGGTGGCTGGGTGGTTTGTTTACTGAGTTTTTTTGTAGGTTTACATGATCTCATCTGACACATTTGGCTTCCGTTTTACGTCTAAGGTTAGGATTAGGGAACCCGTTAATGGCGTCCGATTGTCGGGTTAGGGTAATGCCGCTTAGGTTTAGGTTTTTGGGTTAAGATTAGGGTTTGAGTTTACGATCAGGTTTCAGTATTACGGTTACGTATTACAGTTTGAGCTGTATAAGAACTAGGGTTACGTTTACGATTTCGGTTGGGGTTAAGGTCACCGACCGCTTCTCCATTCCTGTCTACCGACTGCAATCTAGCTGCGTAATCGATAGATGCAGGTGAAATATAGAGAGTTCGGTCCGGAGAAAAATTCCCCATATTCTGGCGACCTTCAACAAAAACTGTGGATTTACTTACCGCACTCCGAGACTGAGTACTGGCTAGAAGCCCAGGCACCTGTTTCGTCGATTTTGTATCGCTGCATGCGCTCATTAGTATGTCCCCCAACGAGTGTAATGACACGCCTTGGGGTGGCTCCGGCCGTGCCAGCTATCCGCGCCCTGTCTTATCTCCGATCTTCTTAACTCTATTTTGACAACAGCGGACCCAGGAGGGGAGGGGGAGGAGAGAGTGAGGTAAGTGCTGCGCAAGTCCGCCATTACCATAAACAAACTCACGCACAAGTCACCGTGCCCGCCCTCCCCCTGCTGTGGAGAACACGGTGGACATCGACGAAATCGACGGTTGAACTATTTGTATTTTCCCCAGTTCCTAGTGTGATTTGCGTTGGATACTGCAGTTTTATGTTAAGCTTTTTGGTTTACCCGGAAACTAATGTCCAAATTTGCTGCAAATTGTTGGGCACGAACTTTCGCAAGTTCGGTTCGACAGCTGACATGCATTACTGGCCTAAAATGCCTTGGTCTCGGTGAACTAAGCGCGTTTTACTCCCAGTCTGTTCATGTGCAGTTAATAATTTGTAAGTACGGATTTGTTTGCCATACTTGCACCAGAGGTGCTGGGTAAGAACCCATACATATGTGCTTCGCTGATTTTGTACCGCTGACTGAGTTAGTTTCAGGGAATTCAGCTCGTCATTGAGTTTCATCCTAGATAAACGTATAAACTTCCAGAGAGAACCTTGGAATGCTTGTGTCAAAGAATCTCTCCAAGTTCACCTATTAAGTCCTGAGGACATTTGAATGTTAGACATTCTGTCGTTGAGGATAACTTTTAGTCATTCCTTTGGTGAGAAATTGTAGGGCCAGTCAATGATAGTGAAACAGGAACTTTGCCCTGGTAGATAATAATCAGATTCCCTAAACGATTTATTTAAATATGGAACCACAAAAAACCAGATATTGCCATTTTATAGTTCCAAATATATAAGTCATCAAGGACACTACCTGACTCATTTATTTATCCCTACAGTCTGGCTGGATCCTAGAGTGTTAGAGTAGGAAAACCTGCTCTGACGATTGGCAAATTCCATTCATTGGCATAGGATGGGCGAGTAGCTTATTTTCACTGAGAGAAATTTATGATACTCGGATGGTGCCTAATAGCTCAGGTATTTAGAGCCTTGACTATGCTCATCCTAATCCCTCCTAGGTCGCCGGGTTTCTTGCAAACCGTTAATACCTCCGATTTTTCAACCCTGTCAAAACAACTCCCCGTACAGTTGCTTTTTTGATACCTTTGTAGATCGAAGAGGAGAACAGCGTGTTCTGCGAACAACCACTTGATTCTCACAGCATGCGAAAACACAGTTTTTCAACTCCTCAAAAGACGCCTTATTTATTTGAGGCCCTGGGCGTTCTGGGATATTCCGGCCTGTGGCGTGCCAATCGTGGAGGAAGTTTTAAAATATTTCGGCCTATGGCGTGCCGGCCGTGGATTGACCATTGCGTGCGCGAGAATCCTCTCGCCGAAAAATATCGATTGTTCGACCGGCCACTGGTAGGTCCGAACGCGTGTGCAAGGCCTCAGTACACGCTGGTAGGCTGTCTGATTTCGCGCGTGTATCTCACCGCCGGCTTGGCTTGCTGTTCCTTGCGTAAAAAAGTCTTCCCGTCACCCTAGGCCGTGACCCTACACCGCTTCCATTTTCCATTACAATCCTGAATGACCGTTTATCAAAGGTCGCGTAGTTACATTTTCGGCGAACAGGCTGTCTTCATTTACGATATTTTTTCGATATATAATGCCTAAGCTTTACCGAGGAACGATCCGAGGGAAAGTTGGACATTTTTTTTCCAGGAATGACGATCCGTCTCCGTTCCGAATTTTAACACGTATTTGGCCGCCTGAATTCGCGACAAGGAAGTAAATATGATTATAGATCCTGTGCACAGACTCGACAGTTTTTATCAGTTTGCCCTGAAGTAATTAGGTCGATATTCAGCACTTTTATTGCAAATGAGAGCATTGAGTCAAGTCGGTTAGATCGCAGTTGGTAGACAGGAATGGGGAGGCAGACGGCGGGGTCCCTGTCTTACGGAAATGGTGGAAAAGGGCGTTATATGGGTGAGGTAAGTGGAAGTGCTGCTGGACGAATGCTGGAGTTTCGGGGAAAAAACAACGTAAACGAAAAAAGTGTTGGGAAGTTTTAGTAAGGTAGAGTAATGGCAGAAATTGAAAAAAATCCAGCGGAAAACCGCACAGCCTGCGGAAAATAAAAGAGGATAATAGTGATAGGATAACCCTAACATTAATCTTAAGTCTAACCTTAACATTCCAGTGATCGCATCTTCGTCTTCTGAACTGCAACCTGAAACTCGCCTATTCACTTCTATCAGCTTAACCCTAACCTTAACCCTAACCCTAACCTTAAGCCTAACCTGAACCCTAACCCTAGCCATAACCCTAACCTTAACGTTAATCATTAATCGTTAAACAGTAACTCTAACCCTGAAGCCGAACCCCAATCCTAAAGCCAAACCATAATTGTAAACCTAAACCCTAACACTGAAGCCGGACCCTATAACACAAATCCGAATCCTAAAACGTAACCTACGCCTAACCGTAACCCTCACTAAACCCAACAGTCTGACCGAAACGGCCGACATACCTCACGCAGTAGAAGCACACCTACTGATAACCAGTTCCCTAGGCAAGGTAAGCAAACTCACTGATAACAAGTAAGTACGTCGACAGTATCAACGTACAGTGCCTGGCTATCAACTGCGATCTTACCGATTACGCCTTCACTAATAGAAGGTCGGGCCATTATGATGATTGAATTAACCAAGCTTATCCTCCATGTCACCCTGACCTTACTGACATGCTGTAGTAAGGCTTCCTATCATCATCATCATCATCATCATCATCATCATCATCATCATCATCATCATCATCATCATCATCATCATCATCATCATCATCATCATCATCATCATCATCATCATCATCATCATCATCATCATCAGCATCATCATCATCATCATCATCATCATCATCATCATCATCATCATAACTCCCACCACTACCAACATCATTTTCATCATCATGCTGGTGCACTGAGTTCGCTGAAATTTTCATCAACTTCCTCTCTCTAGTAAATTTGAAGCATCCAAGTGTCCTCTTGCGTCCTGACTCTGAAACTCACTTTTCCCTGTAGAACTGTGTACTACAGAAACCACATCGTAGACTTCATGCCCCACCCGCCTAAAAGCGACTAACCCGAAGGCTTTCCTGCGCATCCGTCTGCAGCAGCACAGCGCTTATTGGATACAGCGGAGATGCCAGAATTTAGGCCCTGCAACTAGCGTATCCACACATATATAGAGGTTCAGTTAAAGTTCGCGATGACAGCGTTAACCACGACAGCTGAGTACAGGCGCGGCCATGTTGCCGTTGATCCTTTTACTAGCATTGACATGGCGGTGTAGCGGAGAGGACCGTGTACCAAATATTCCAGACACTCTCAGGACTGCCACAACCCAAGACATACTGTCTGCTAACTATGATGTTGTGATATTCCTGAACGATGACATCTTCAATCTGAAGGATGAATTTCAGGACATCGGTGAGGCTCTTGTGCAATACAATGGGGTAGGTCATCAGTGGTGAATGAGAAATATCCTCTATAATTTTTCCCCAAAACAGAGAACATATCAAACAGGGCTTGCTCTTCTATGCTTTCTTGTTTAAAATGTTAAACATTGCATTTGAAAAAGCCTGCCAGATTGCGCGCTACAGACTTTTTATAGTCTGTATAAATGAGAGTAGCTTGGCGTGCGGTCTTCTTTTCCATTTGCCTAGCCATAACCTGACGGCAGATCTTATGTAGTACCTATCTCGCCAACGGCCCTTTTTTCATGAAGGTTCTTCGTCTGTCGTCTCCGTCTAGTCGTCTTAGGGGAAACAAAATTTGGAATGATTATACTGGTTCGTAAAACTAGACAGTTCAGCAACAGTTCTGAGGATGAGGAGTCCACGTGCAACATGCGATCTTATTTTATTGAAGTTTAGATTTTTCCTCCCTAGTGCATCAGCAGCCATTCTGTCAGATGAAGCCTTCATCACAAATATCCATATTTTTTAAGGTTTTCGCCTCGAACTTCGAATATAAGGGAAACAAGACGAAAACTGTTGTCAAGTCGTGTAGACAGGGTTGGATAAGCAACGATTATTCTCTGGCAGACATCGTGCGATTTAAAAGGCGATTTGGGAAGATTTTAATAATCCAAGTGATTAACCATCTACAAAGAATTCGGCGACCTCGTTGAGGATCGAACCTAAGACAAATAAGAAAAGGCTTTATTAAAGTCAACTCTCTAGCCATCCGTGTTATGTGACTCTGAGCGGGGGCCGTGAGTTGACTGAGTGTTGGATCAAGGCGTCCACTCAACCTACCACATCCTGCGGAATCTACTAGTTATGACACGGCTGGATGACTGCCCAAACATACTCTACTGAGTGACCAACTTAGCATTAACCGAATGAATACCAGGGTTGAATTTATAACAGATACTGTACCGAAGCGACTCCAGTGCATTTTCTACGACTGGGTCGGTTGAATTGCATTGTTTACAGGAAACCTTTTAATCCCCTATAGCGCAAAATAAGCTTTTTCTAGTAATCTTTGCCTATTTGCTTCTACGTAATAATTTACTGGTATTAAACTTATAAATGCATTCTTAACCGAACTTCATCTTTTCTAGCTCGATTCCACAACTCCAAACAAGATGCAAGTTGTCCCATTCCTGAAGCATCCGAATAAGAGAATGGTAAGGAGAATGCATTCGCTGGTGTTATTTTAGTTTTAAGCAGTAAACTTCAGGACTGAATGAATTATTATTAATAATTGGTTTATAAAGCTCGAGAAATTGCAACTTTCTGCCAATCCGGGCCTGGATCGGTCCGATTCTGGACTGAAACATATCGTCCCCTTCTCTTTCCAGATATTCGCTCCCACGGGTCGACTAAACACAGATATCTCTGACAGTCGACAGATCTACAGCACAGCCCAGGATGCAGCGAAGCTGTAAGTCACTCCGGTCCATTCGGTTTCGAGATCATCCGACTTACATAACAAGCACTGTTTGTCCTGAAATTGAACCATATTACTTCGGGAATTCGCAGTTTTTATCCTCGTTTGATCTTTATAATTGCATGATAAGTGCCTGTCAGCCTGTTGCAAACTAGTATCCTGTTGAAAATCAATCGTTACCAACTGTGTGTGAATTTGTTTACTTTATTTTTTTGCAGCGCTTTCTCTCTTAACCTCCGAAGGCCGCTGTTTATGTTGGGTCCGCTGGAGTCCTCGACAAAGGCAAACCACACTTGGATGAAGGCCGATTACCCAAAACTCCTTATGACTTTGGGCGCCCTACAAGGCTATTACACGGTACGCCAAAGAAAAAATCCAACCATTTTTTCTGACAACAGCAGGAACCTCTAGCTAGCTAAAATGAAAGGAGAAGGAGTTGAAAAGCCTATAATTACAAGAAAACTTGACATAGACCTAGGACGTTTGGCTGCCTCAGAGTTTATTCTTCGCAATTCTTCTCGATTTTAAGTATTTTAGTCGTATCCTGGGTGTTTAATCATTCAACTGGCCTGCCCATTTGTATATCCGCAGTTTACATTATCGGAAAAGGATTAGGGCCTAATTAGTTTGCGTAATTTAAGGAGCAGGGCATTTGGCCAGAACACAGACCGCTCTCTATAGAAGCGGATACTGCTTCATACGCTTATACAGCAAAATACCTGACTTACGTATGAATGATGGCATTCTGAATATATTATATGAATGCTTATTTTCATATATTCGGCCAGAATGCAGCTCGCAAGCTAAGTACGACGTCCTCTGAGTGGTCGGAGCCGGTGAAAAATTCCTGAAAATATCGGAATCAGTTTCAAGCGTTGTACTTTAAAGAGCATAACTACATCGGAGCGTTCAGGAATAATCTAGGAAATTAAGTAAAGACCCCACCTGCAGCCCTGTTTAACAGAACGCTTTCACAGTAAGTAGTGATTTCTTACAGTTAACCGTGTAAGATGGGGGCCTTAGCTCGGGCGTACAAACTGAATGTATTAGTATATTAGGTGATGTAGTCGCAATTATCGTTTATGATGCTGACTTTCGAACTTCGGATTCCAGCGAACCTTCCCTGGGAGCGACTCAAATCTGTGCTGGCTGGCATCCGAGTTAAGAGATCTTCAGCCATGCCAGGCTTGGTTGTTGGGCACTTAACTGGCCTGCAAGTTCGTATTCCTGTAGTTCGCATACTCGAAAATGATGTTTACTAAATTAATTTGAAAAGTAGAACGAGCTGGATATTTAGCTGGAAGATGAAGCATTCTCTGTAAGAGAACAGTCCTTCATATACTTCTACGGCAAACGACCTGACCTGTAGTTTAATTTTACATGATTGTTTTTTCTTACATTTAGCCATATATCAAGCGCCAGCTGGGCTACGACCCGCAAACCAAGTACGATGTTCTCGGAATTGTTGGAGCCGACGAGGAATTTATCAAAATAGTTGGAGCAATCGAAATGGCCCGTATAGTCCATCGTGATACGTGCGCCTCGGATCCTGAAAGGATGGCTGCACCGTCGATCGAGAAGTACTACAAGCGGGAATTCGATAACCAGACCGTCAAGGCGTCTTACTATGGAATGGATGCTGACAGATGGCCACTGTGCGCGGCAGTCAACAGAGCCGTTCAGGGTCAGTTGAGTGCTTCTCCACGAAATGCAAAGTTTTGTGCCTTGTTAGTTGGCAAATTCTAATAGCACTGTACTGTGCTCTGTGAAAGGCCGGAGAGCTTCCAACAAGAGCCTAGTTATTTCCCCATGCATTAGTTAAGCTCAATGACTTGAAATCTAGTTGATGTCATTCCATTTACTTCTTAAGGTGTGGATAAATACGAGGGACGGGTGATTAACCTCGAGTATGTGGGCGAGGACTTCAACGACACGACAGACGACACCGTCCTTTTTGTCGGCAAGGGCATCACCTATGATACCGGTGGTTCAGAGCTCAAAACCGGTGGCAACATGAAGTACATGCGCAAGGATAAGTGCGGGGCCACCTCCATCGCGGGCTTCTTCAAGGCACTGGATCTCCTAAAACCGAGTCACTTTAAGGCGAAGGCATATTTGGCCTTCGTACGCAATGGAATTGGTGCGAACGCCTACGTCTATGACGAGATAATCACCACAAAGGCGGGAATCCGCACTCGTATCGGCGCTCCGGACGCTGAGGGCAGGAACGTCATGACAGACATGTTTTATGATGCGGTACAGGATGTAAGCGCCCCTATGCCATCCTTGTTATTAACCTGTTCATACGCCTCTGTAACGGCTTTTTTCCGTCCTATTTGTATCCATTATGTGTACCGCCTGCATTTTGTACAAATTACCTCCAATAGCGTAACAAAATTTTATATTCTGGATAAAATTAAGTAGGTATGGAGTTGATGTCTTTTCTCGTTTGGAAATTGTTGTCAATGTTTCTGCATGAAGTGGGAGTTTTAGGCAAAAAAATTGGGTAGGGTCCCTGTTGGTAGCCCTCCCGGCTAATTGCTCTACACTTTGCTTACTACAACATTCGCATCTAGCACACAACTACTGCTTCAGTTTCTAAAATACATGTGGCCTCAGTGGCAATAAATTATTATTTTCGGAAAATCAGGAACGCCCAACCCAATCTGGAGCTAGGATGCATTCATTCCACAGACCGTACTCAGTATCCACGTTCGTTTTTATATCTTTCTTTCATTTTTCGCCATATTTAATTTTGGCTACGACTTTATCAGGGGCATCAATTCGGGGCATACACTATAAACGTCATTGACGCCTGCACACAAGTGCCCCATCCGTATATCTCCCATTACCACTGGCCCCGTAAGATAGGTAGCCGGGCGAGTTCAGTACCGGGAGGGCTACCAACAGGGATCCTACCAAAAATTGTTTATCTTGGCTAATAGGCCAGAAACGGTCATCCCAGTCTCCTTTGCCTTTCTCGTGGCATGGCTGTTCATTGATTCGATTATGAAACGTGCTTTTCTCATCGCGCCCTGAGGCTCACTTTAGAGCCCTCGCAGTCAGTTGCATAACGACCAATAATGATAGAGAAAGAAGACCGATATAGACAAGGGTGACAGCGATGTACTTTTTTTTACTTCTTAACCGCTCGGATATTTTCTGGTCTTAAAGTTCTCTTTCCTTTGTTCTTTTTCCAAAAAGGCAGAAAATGCGACCCATCCGCATATTTATACGATTGCAACACTAACGGGAGCTGTTGGAAGGGCCTTCAAACATTTCACGGTAAGGAGAAGAATTACAGTCATTTCCAAGTATATAAAATCAGGCCCAGTTCATGCATTTATTCGTCTCTTCATTCAGACACTGGTTGAGATGCAGTAACCGTATGGAGGCAGTTTCAGACTGTTCAAGGGCCTATTTCTTTTTCATGCCCCAGCATCTAACTTCGTTGAAGTGAAAAGGCGCCTCAGTCAAGCTGTTTAATTTTTTTCTCTTTCAGGCAATGCTAGGTAACGGGCCCTCGCGTAGAATGAAAAACACAGACATAATGGAAACGGCGGGCTACAATATCGCTGACTTCGTTGAGGTAAAATAATCTTCCGGAACTAAAGTTACCATACCGTAAGGTGTAACAGCAGCAGGTTTTGAAAATTACAAACTCTAGATGCAAACCAGGTTTAGTTGGTTTGTAGAAATCAACCCAATACTGAAGCATTCCTTACCAACTTCCAAAATTGCGGCATTTTGAAAAAAAAAACTTTTTTCCACATTTCATAAAGAAAAACACTCTGCGCAAAGAGGACTACGAAGTTAACCGACCCCAAACAGATGACGAGTTTGACCTCCTGCAATTCAACAACGCTCCGGAAACCGCGAAGTACAGGGGCTTTCAACTGCCGGCAGGCTTCATGGCAGTTGCATCTGGTCTGGATGATGTAGGTCTCCGAAAAGACGCTCACAGACATTTATTACTTCAATGGTGAAGTTTAGATTGTCACTTCGGATCTTTAAGTTAGGATTTTAAAACTTTGCAGATAAGTTTCTTTAGAGTAAATACTGTCATTTACTGTCGCGATTCGGCAGTACTGTTCACGTCCAGTCTCATCAGTACATAGAAATCAAGTAACTTGGTCTCGAGATGCCATATCGGAACTGAGACAAATTCTTCATGTCCAGGCAATGCTGATACAACCAGCACTTAGATTTTCTTTTATTTTTGTACATTTTGCTCCTGCATATGCTATTTTAACGATTGTACTTTGATTATAGTGGGGCTACCAGGCACGTGAAAACAAAATTCCTTACACCCATTTGGATGTGTCCGCCAGTGTCGGCGTGAAACACATGGAAGCCACCGGAACGCCGACCAGCCTCTTCATCAGTCGATACATTCTGCCAAAACTGAACGCCACCAAGTTCCCTCTTGACACCAACCCCAACAATTACTAGCGGATGAAGAAGCTTCTGCTAATGATCGCACACAGACGCACCCAAACTGTATCAACTTTCTAGCAAAAAAATGCTCACTTTCTAACTGTATCCACCGACAGAAGGTGCTTTTGTAAATGACTCCCTACTCCATACAGACATGTCTCTCTCTCTCTCTCTCAAAACAAAACCCGCTACACGTGTCATGGAGGGCGTATTCCGAGTAAAGTGCTTTGGGGAATCAGTAGACTTGATCTATGAGGCAGGGGCTTGAAGAAGGAGACACGATCTCTGGGACAAGAGCTTTATTGACCTGACGTTTCGGATTCCTGCTCGAACCCATCATCAGAGACAAAGGAGCAGAAACGGGTGGTTGTTACACAAGGGGCTGCGGTATTTATAGGATGCAGTAGCCATGCTACCGCATACCTATGAGCATTCACGGCTCCTCTCCCTTCATCCGGAATCGTCGCACTTGGTGTGCTAATTGTTTGATGGCCGACATTAGGGTCGTTAATTGCTGCAATTTCATCACGTGTGTTGAATGTTGGTGTGATGATTGCTCGACCATCTGATCCACCGACCCTGGAGTTAGGAAAAGTGTTCACTTGTGCGTTTCCCGCGTGGCTAATTACTCCGCCTAGGAGAAGTCTCAGCACCGAGTATGGAAGGGGAAGGTCATCGAACTTGTTACTGGACTTGGGGGCCAGTAAACCATGATTCAAGTAGCTCCCGGTTCACGCGGTTGTCACCTCTTGCGAGAATTTCAGCCTCGTCGAACTTGAATGTGTGGCCGGATCTCATCGAATGAGCCGCAAGTTGAGAGCTGGCGTCATTTCTCCGCACCGCTGCAGCGTGTTCGGCCATTCTCGTTCGGAGCTGTCTTCCGGTCTCTCCGACGTAGTTGCTTTGTCCGCAACTGCACCAGATTCATGTGGCGTTTCTGTATCACATTGGACCCTTGTGTTTGCAGAACACCTGAAGCTTAGATCCTGTCTCGGCGCGTTGACAACGCCAGGTATGAATTAACCGAGTCCAGACTGAACGAGCAGGGGTTCTATTGCATTCTGGTTCTTTTCCCATCTTAAAAATCTGGTCTCTGAGAAATAGAAACATAAACACCCCGACTGAGTTCGGTAAGGGGTTTTGCATCCTTGGTGTAAGTACAGCTAAATCCGCTGTCTTGGGCCCCAGATCTCTTTGAAATAAACGCAGCCCATCGGCAGTCTGTCCACAAATGAGCAACCAGAATGCATCCTTCGCGGTCGCAGGTAAAAGCAAAAACGAGTTCAATTACGTCGGGGTGCAAAATCGACAAGGAGGCCTCACTTTCATCGGAAGTCGGGGGACGAAGTTAGTAGTATGTCAGGCTTTAGTGAGTCCAAGACTGTACATGCTCACCATGCGATGAGCCTGCCAATGTCGTCATCAACCGCGGCGCGAGATGCGTGCCTGCATGCGCCGAGGTCATGTCCGACGGAGACCAGTCAGCCGAGGACATAATACCGGCCGATCTCGAGCTGTCATCAAGTCGGGAGCTGAGTCATGCGTGACGCAAACATCCAACCGGTGCTGGACGAACCAAAGGTGGTGCAGGTATGCGACCGGACTGGCGACTACGTGGAAAGACTAACATAGTTGCTCACTTAGAGCTTTATAAGCTAAAATAACCCTTTATCGGACTACCGGGGATCCCATAGTAACGTGCAACAAACGTACTGGGAAAATAATTTCGAATTTGCCTCACTTAGGATGACAACATCGGATGAACACGCTGACCGTGTTTTGCGTTTGGCAGAGGTAGAAAAAAAGATGCAATTCTCACAATGAGAACGGTTCACGTCAGTAAGAAAACCAGCCTTGCAGGTGTCGGATTGAAGCGCATGGGTCTATCGCAGCAGGCTAGACCGAGAGTGAGACCCGGGTTACCGCAACCTTCACGTCCGGTCCCGAATGGAAAGAGAAGGTGGACGTCAGTGGGAAGAATGATGTATTCTGTACAGAATAACTGGAGAAGGAGTTGGAGAGAGTTGGCAGCCGGACGAGGGCATGTCAGGCCACGGATGAGCGGCGTCCCACGTGTCGGCCAATGAATGCGTCACAGGCCACGTCTGATTCGGCCTTGAATCTGATTGGTCGATTGGAAAGCCGAATGAGCGAATGCCAGACAGGCATGGTGCGCACACAGGCTCCGGCGTGGAGACAGGCGCTGGGATTAGGGAAGCCTTGAGTCTGTAGGGCGTATGTACGGTCTTTTGGGAGTTCCTGACGTTAGAAAATGTAGGGCTACTCAATGATCGGTCGGCATGTTATTCCAAAGAAATGTATATGTGGAAGCCAAGACCAGAAAGAGTCTATCACAGCAGGCTAGGTCGAGAATGAGACCCCGGTTACCGCGACCTTCACGTCCGGTCCCGAATGGAAAAAAGAAAGCGGGTGCCAATGGAGAGGATGATGTCTTTTGTACAGAATAACTGGAGGGCTGTCATAATCCCTGATCTATAGAAGGTTCGATCTGAGTAAAGGGGGGGGGGGATTTCCGGAGTCGTAAAGCGATTTTCGGGAGCAAACAAACATCACCCTTTGGAAAATGGGGTGATACTGTGGCGGTTTGGAAACTGGGATGATACTGTGGCGGTCATGGATGTAAGATCGGCTTAAGCCACGCACAATAAATTCGTTTCGTCTAATGTCAGAAGTCAGGGAGATGTGAGGACTAGTTTATTCTATACACAGGGCAGGTTGCCGCAAGGTGGCTGTTTGCTTGCGACAGAAATAAGCATCCGTTCCTGGAGAGTGTCAGTCGCGGTGTGTTGTTTACGCGGGAGTGAGTGTCTGGGTCAGCAGGAGGGGGTGACTGACTGCGGATTGGTCGTGTGATTGGACAAATTAGGGGATGAATAGGGGGCGCATGCTCACAAGGCCTCACGGGTATCAAGCCAGAGCGTTAGACGCGCGTGAGGTGATGAAAGTTTGTGAGGTCAACCGACAGTCACTGGAGTTGGACCGCAGGTGTCCCAGTTCTAGCCGGCGGGGGTGGCCGTGTGTCAACAGCAAAACAAAACGGAGCCGAAGAGGAACTGGAGCGGCTGCTACAATACCACACTACGTGTTAACCTTTTTAATGGCCGCTTCATTCTTTGCTTTCGGAAGCGCTGACTGTTTATTCAGTCGCCAAGCCCAATTTCTTGAAATAACAACCTGTCAGAACGCATTCCGAATGACGCTTCCTCGGACGAAATAATTTGTCCAGATCGGCTGCCTGTCCAGTTATCCTGGTCAGTTGATCTAACGGTATCCAATTTTTCCATCAGGTTGCGTCAAGACGACAGTCGTTCTTCTGATCAACCATAAGTTTGGTGTTCAAATGCTATTCAGGCGGCTAAAGAATGTTCGCTCAGTTGTCAGAAATTGGGTGGCTATCTTGACGTTTAAGAATAAGACTGAGCCTGTTCTAACATTGCGTAATTCGCTAACCCTTATGCAGTCAAAGTCATTAGAGGTCTGATCTACACAAGGACTTTCAGTAAGGGAAGCATAGTAAAAAATATTTTCTTAATATCTTTCGCCTTCCCGTGTCTCAGTAGTATAATCACTCAGCGCACTTCCTCTACAAACTTGGCCATATGCACTACATTTAGAAAATGCGCTCAAATAGTCTTCTTTGAAGACAAAGTCTTTCATCTAGAACGCTGTCAACAAGGCTGAAAAAGACTGCTATGGCTTTTTCGGCCCTAATTTCCCTCCATATGACACCAAGCTCTCAGGTCACAGAGTCGAACTCTCGTCAATAAATTCGGATCCGAGTGAGTTCCCGTCCATTCACAGACTGACGCTCTCTCAGCTAGCTCGTTAAAATATATGTAATATTTTGCCGATTTTCGAAGAGTTTGGGCGACCCACCGCTTGCAAGAAGTTAGATGCCGAAAGTTAAACTAAAATTCGAATGACTTGTTAAGCTATGCGACCGTGAGCTGACCGATTTTCTCCTATCGCTCCCGCGGACCTTTGACTGATGCCTGACAGATTTGACAACTGCTGGCGTTACTAGTTGTGGGACTAAACAGCATAAATCCCTTCCGGTTAGTCATTCCTTCTTCTCAAATTATCGCTCCGAAATCTTTAACCTCACGAACCTTCTTCGGCTACTGCTATCCGAGGTGCTGAAAAGCATTTGTAAGTACCATTAGTTGGGATGACCTGATCTCTGGACATCGAAAGGAGTTCGTCTTCGCCTTTTACATTCCAAATAAAGCTACCGCAGCAGGAAGCCTGGTGAAGATTAAACAATTATCGACGGCCAATAAGCCAGAAATGACCATTCTAGTTTCCCTTGCCTTTTTTCGAAAATGGACAAAGATATAATAGTGTTGCCAGCCGACAAAGGAAGAGCAACCGTCGTGATGAACCGAGTCGAAAACAACGAAAAGGCACAAGCCCTCCTCGAGGACCAACAGTCCTACAAATCCACGCCTTCCTCACGAGCCAAATCGATGATTGGTCAACTAACCGGACTCCTGAACCGACTCAAACGCAACAGTGCGATATCGCTAGATGAATGACGAGAGACGGAACCAACGGACATGGAATTGTCTCGGTTTTATGAATTACCCAAAATCCGCAAGCCCAATGTTTACCCTCAACAGATCGTTGCCTTGAAAGGCAGCCCCACTTACAATCTATCGAAGTGGTTGACCTGAAAACTTAACTTTCTCCGAGAAGGCTCAAAGACCTCCATCAGTTTGGCCTCCCAATTCCTGGCCGACATCCGAGGAAAAGTTGTCCGACCTGACCACATTATTGTGTCCTTTGACGTGATTTCATTATTCACATCCATTCCACCGGACCTGGCACGCGACATTCTTCGCAAACGACTCGAAGAGAACTACGACGAAACGAACAGACCCCTAAAAATCGATCACTTACTGCAACTCTCTGCTTTCCGCCAACAAATCTTTATCGCCATCAATGGCAGAATATACGAGCAGATCAAAGGAGCAAATGTGGGTTCGCCAATATTC